TATGTTTTGTTATATTTGCGCCTAAGTGGGTTTTTAAAAAAAATCACAAGTGGTATTCTGTAATTTTGTTGTTCACTTCCTAGTATGTAGAAATACAATGATTTTTGTATGTTTACCTTGTGTTGTGAGACCTTGCTGAATTCACTTATTAGTTCTAGAAGTTTATATGTAGATTCCTTAGTATATTCTACCTACACCACTATGTTGTTTGAAAATAGGGATACCGTAGTGTCTTCCTTCCTGATCTGATTGCTTTTTATTTCCTTTTTTGCCTTATCACAGTGGCAGTACTATACTGAATAAAAGTAGTGAAAGCTTGTATCTTGCTTTTTCTTGATCTTAGGGGGAAAGCCTTTAGTCTTTTGCCATGAAATAGGATGCTTTAGGTTTCATTTTTGTTTTTGTTTTGTTTTGTTGGGTGTTTTTTTGTAGACGCTCTTTATCAAGTTTAAGAAGTTCCTCTCTCTTCCTGTTTTTCTGGGAGTTTTGTTTTGTTTTTAATCATGAATTGTTGAATTTTGTTAAATGCTTTTTCTACATCAATTGATATGGACATGTGATTATCCTTCCTTAGCCTGTTAATATGGCAAATTACATTGATCGATTTTTGAATTTTGAATCAGCCTTACACCCTTGGAATACACGTCACGTGATCATCTTTTTATACATAATTGAATTTTGTTTTCTATTTGTTATGGATTTGCTTCTGTGTTTATGAGAGATACCAGATTGTAGTTTTTTTTTTGTACTGCTTTATCTGGTTTTGGAATCAGGGTAGTACCAGCTTCACAAAATGAACTGAGAACTATTCCCTCTGTTTCCATTTTCTGGAAGCAATTGTGTAGAATTGCTGTTAATTCCTCTTTAAATTTTGCTACCAGTGTCCATTAAAATCACCTGGACCTGAAGATTTAATTTTTGGGTGTTTTAAAATTACTAATTCAGTTTTCTTAATAGTTTATAGTTCTATGAATTATGGTAGTTTGTGTTTTTCAAGAACCATTCCATCTAAGTAGTCGAATGTATGTGTGTAGCGCTGTTTGTAGCATTCCCTTTTTATTTTTTTGATATCTCCAGGGTTTATAATCACATCCCATGCCTCTTTCCTGATATTGGTAATTTGTATTTTCTCTCTTTTTTTTCCCTTTTCCAGTCTTGCTACATGTTTGTCAATATTATTTTTATTTTATTTTCTTGATTTTTTCAGAGTTCACTGACTTTCTCTGTTTTTCTGTTTTCAATTTCAGTGATTTCTGCTTTTAACTTTATTCCCTTTGCTTGCTTTATATTTATTTTGCTCTTTTTAAAATAGGTGTTTGAGGTGGGAGTGAATGTCATGGATTTAAGATTTTTTTCTCTTTTCCTAGGTAAACATTTAGTGCTATACATTTCCCTTTCAGTGCTGCTTTAGCAGCATCCTTCAAATTTTGATATGTTGTTATTTTCATTCTCATTGAGTTCAGTGTACTTTTAAATTTCCCTTGGCACTTCTCCTTTGGCTCATGGATTATTTAGAAGTGTGTTTAGTTTCCAAATGTTTGGATATTTTCCTGTTACCTTTCTGTTATTGATTACTAGTTTGATTCCATTTTAGTCAGAGAAGACACTCTGTGTGGTTTCGATTCTGTTAAATTTGTTAAGGTTTATTTTACGGACTAGTATATGGAAAATGTTCTACATGCACTTGAAAAGAATGTGCATCCTGCTCTTGTTGGGTAGAGTGATTTATAAATGTTGAATAAATCCTGTTGGTTGATGGTGTTGTTAAGTTCTTAAGGGGCTTATTTTCTGTCTAGTTGTTCTATGGAAGGTTGAGAGAAGAGTGTGTGAATTTGTCTATTTCTACTTTCAGTTCTATTAATTTTTACTTTGCATATGTTGGGGCTCTTTTGTTCTGTGCATACACATTAAGATTACTGTGTTTTCTTGGTGACTTAACCCTTTTATTATTATGTAATTGCCATTTTCTCTCTGTTGTTCAGATTGAGTAATTTCTGTTGTTTTGTCATTGATTCTTTCCTCTGTCTTCTCCATTCAGCTGTTGAGCCTATACATTAAATTTGAAAAATTAGTTATTGTATTATTTGATTTTGAAATTTTTGTTTGGCTCATCTTTACATTTTCTCTTTCTTGGCTAAGATTCTCTGTTTTTTCATTTGTTTCAAGTGTGTCCAAAATTGGGCACTCAAGCATTTTTGTGACGGCTACTTTAAAATCTTTGTTACATATTTCTGATGTCTTTGTCCTCTTGGTGTTGGCATCCATGGATTGTCTGTTTTTCATTCAGTTTGATATTTCCCTGGTTCTTTTTATAATGAGTGATTCCTAATGGAAACCTGGGTATTTGAGATATAATGTATGATAGTATGTCTGAGACTCTGGATCTTATTTAAACTTTTTTTTTTTTTGGAAAGTGGCTTCCTTTGATACAGATATGGCAAAGAAAGGGGTAGGCATCCCCTCATTTCTGCCAGGTTAGGTTAGAGGTCCAGGTTTCCAATTCAGCCTTTATGGCACCAGAGGGGGGCTCTTCTTGTTACTGCTGGGTGAGAGAGAGAGCTCTGGCTCCCTGCTAAGCTTACATTGATACCTCCTTGGGCTGGGGTGGTGGTGGCCTTATTACTGCTGGGCAGTGATGAAAATCACGACTCTCCATTAGACCTCTTCTGACCCCACCCCTGTGGGGAGGGGGAGGGACGCCTCATTAGCCCCCTGCCTTCTCTGTCACTACCCCTGGTAGGGAGGCGAACGAGGTTGGGTGCTTCATTACAGCCTCGAGAAGTGGGAAAGCTGGGCTTCCTAGTAGCCTTTGCTGGCCTGGGTTGCAGTGGGACCTCGATCTTTTTTTGTAGTGTTTGGCTATAGTAAAGTGGTTATTGTCTAAAGGTTTCCTATCTTGTGAGACTGCCCCTCTCCTAGTTCTTGTGCTAGAGAGAGTGGGCTTTTGTTAGGGCTCTTTTTTGTGTGTACCCCTTGGTGTTTCCAGGCTGCTGGAATCTTCAGCTCTAAGTCTGGGTCTATATGAGGCAAAAGGAGAACCCAGTGAGCTCACCACTGTGTCATTCCCAGTCAGTTTGCTCTCCTCTATACCTTTCAGAGTCTTCTTACATGTGTTTTATATGTAATGTCCAGGGCTTTTAGTTGTACTTAGGTGGAGGATTAGGCAGAAGTACATCTACTCTGTCTTTCCAGAAGCAGAAGTCCCGTTCATTTAATTTCATTTGCTTTACTCTTACAGGCCAATCCCTTTTCCTGCCTGAGGTCTCAGGGTCCAAGCTTCATTAATCACTCTTGTATAAGTTCTTTTCATGAGGAGAGCTATTAAAACCCCAAGCCTAGAAGAGCTCTGTGCACTGGTGGGAAGGGTAGAAACAATTCCCATACCCAAGGGCTGCACTGGACATGCCAGATTTCTAGCTTTTTGTTTTTTATTTCTTGGAAGGGTCACCTTTTAAGGCCTGGGACCACCTGTAGTGAGAGCAGGGATATTCAGATTACCTTATATTCACTAACGGGCCTTTAACCTCTGGAGGGAAAGATAAGTTCCTGTGGCACAAGAGGAAGTTTCACCTAAAGATTTATAAGAATCTGTAAGCGGCACAGAAGAGCAGCTGGGCTGGGGTGGGGGTACCTTCCAGCGCGGCCTAGTCTCTGAAGACATAGCTTTTTGCCTTTTGAAGTGAAACCTATTTGTGACACTCGTTTGGAACCAATCTTCTCTAGACCTCTTCCTTCGCTGAAACTGCTTCATTAGAAACTCGTTTAGGAAAATGCAGCCTCCGTGTGAAACGGCATGGTTTTAATCCAGCTGGACCTAGTTTGGCATCCTGGTTCCACCTTTCCTGCATGACCTTGAAGTTCATTTATTCGCTTAAAAACAGTGCTGGAGTGCCTGCTCTGGGCCAATCAGCATTCAGGGTTTTTAGAATAAAGTAGTGAGTACCTTTCGTTGCTCTATATTCTTAATTTCCAAGCCATCAGCAAGTTCAGCTGGTTTTATTTCAAAAATATATCCAAAATTGGACTAGTTTTCTCCATCACGCCACCTTTTTCTCAGGGTGTTATAATAAGTTTCCGGATTCTGTTTTTTCCTCTAATCTTCTGCCTCAATTCATTATTTATGCAGCGGTCAGGGTGATCTTTTATAAACCTGCATTGAATTATTCTGTTGCTTAAAACCCTCCAGTTATACTCAGACGTACTGAGAATAAAATCCAGTGCCTCCCCATGGCGCAGCAGGTCTTGCATGGCTTGGTTTCTGCTTCCCTTCTGAACTCATCTAGCATCCACCCCCCCACCCCCCATTTAGTGTGTTTCAGTCACACCAGACATCTTTCTTTTCCTACAAATACCCAGCTTGTCCTCCTCTGGGATCATTACCCCAGTTATACTGTCTGCCTGGCATAATTTTTCCATATAAGCTTGAATGGCTGGTTTCTTGTTGTCATTCAGATTTTAGTTCAAACACTCGCCCTCCCCTAATCCTCAAGTCACATTCTATCAAATCACTTTGTGTTCTACGCCACTTCTTATTTAGCTCTTACCACAATTGGAAATATCTTGATTTGCCTATTAGACCGAGCACCACAAGAGCAGGAATCATGCTGTTTCCTTCATGACTATGTGTCCGGTGTCTAGAACAGTTCCAGGCACAGAACAATAAATATTTATTAAGTTATTTAATTCTCTTGAGCCTCAGTTTCTCACTTGTCACCTAGAAAAGTTATGGGCTAATAAAGGAGGTTGTATTTATAATTGAGATAATAAATGTGTGTGAAGTATTTATTACAATGCTTGGCACATAATAAGCCAAATAATAGTTTGCCATTGTTTCATTGTGATTAATTATATTATAAATTTCAATTCCCTTTTCCCATACTCCTCTAGTATCTGTTCTTGCACCTGGTGACCCACCTGGAGCATCATGATGATTTGTCAGTGACAGATGCTTGCCATTAAATCCTAACTTAGTTCTCTCTTGGCCGTGTTTTTCTGTGCAGGTCCTGCAGCTGGGCTCAGACATCCTTCCCCAATACAAGCAAGAGGCACCAAAGACTCCCCCTCACATCATCTTACATTACTGTGTGTTTAAGACCACGTGGGATTGGATCATCTTGATTTTAACCTTCTACACAGCCATCTTGGTCCCTTACAATGTCTCCTTTAAAACCAGGCAGAACAATGTGGCCTGGCTGGTTGTGGATAGCATCGTGGATGTCATCTTTCTGGTGGACATTGTGTTGAATTTTCATACCACTTTTGTTGGACCAGCTGGGGAGGTGATTTCCGACCCCAAACTCATCCGCATGAACTATCTGAAGACGTGGTTTGTGATTGACCTTCTGTCCTGTTTGCCATACGATGTCATCAACGCTTTTGAGAACGTGGATGAGGTTAGTGCCTTTATGGGTGATCCAGGGAAGATTGCTTTTGCTGATCAGATTCCACCACCCCTGGAGGGGAGAGAGAGTCAGGTACATCTCTCAAATCTCAGACCTTGTTGTCATGTCTTTAAAGCTGAATTAAATATGGGTGGTCAACAGAAAAATAATTAAGGGGTGGGAGCTAGCATGACTGGTGTCTGGAACAGAGGGCGCATGCTTGATAGCTGTCTTTCCCACTGTTCCTGCCTCTGGAGGCCCAGAGGTTCTGCATGTCAGTGAATGATGTTGGAAGAGACCAAAGGCTTCCTTCTTACTTCACGTGGAGTGCATGCCACTGGCTCAGGGGTGGTGGGGCTGCAGAAACGGGCATGCATCGCCACTGTATTGCTGAATCTTTCACTCTGTATGCATTTGCTGAACGTCTGCCTATTGATTATTCCAGTTATGGGGACTTTCTATCGTCTGTTGCTGACCTTTGATGGTTTCATTTTAATTAACTCCTAGCAAAAGGATGCTATTTCCCCCCAAGTGTGCTTGCGTGTTTGTTTATTTATTTATTTATTTATTTACTTATTTATTTATTTATTTATGTATGTATTTATTTTATTTTTGAGGGTGGGGGTAAATGTTGGGGAAAAAGGAGTTATTCCTTTGCTAAACTGAGTTTTGGAGGTGACGTAGTGGCATTCGGTTATCTATACCTTCCCTTGCCTGACTTTGCCCAGATAGGATGTAGCTAAGAGGAGTAGTGTTGTTACTGGATTACACTGCTTTGGATTGTTAGTCCTGCGGGCAATGGAAGGAATTAAAGGAAGATAAATGCCCTGTAGATGTGTTAGAATCAGGACGTGCTTAAACAGTCAGCGCCTGGGTGCCTGGGACGTGTTGTAGCAGGAAGGGGACCTCTGGGCTGGATAAAGTGATTTCCTCCTTTGAAGAAGCCAGGATGTCAAGCCATCGCAAAGGCAACCGTCAGATTCTTATCCAGTTTGTGTCCTACGGGAATCGTTCTAATTTTCGTGCTCCAGATGGATTAAGATAAGGCAGTTCATCTGGCAAGTCTTCAGCTTCAGGCTGCAGTGGGCCCTCACTGCCTGAGATTAGAGAGGGTCCCAGAGGTGTCAGCCTGGCTGGGCTGCTTGTTAACTGGGTGGGTAATTCAGGATGCCATCTGGAGGCTGAGTCAGGCAAGATATACTCTAAGGGTTAAATGGTGAGTGGGATTCAGTCTTGGGACGGTTAGGAGGAACAGTCAGCTCCCTGCCAGGATAGCAAGGCCTGGCCAGCGACTCTGTGTCTTGCTGGTGGCATATGATGAATCTCTGCTTTCAGATCAGTGCCAGCAGTGGGCGAGGGCTGGAGCTCCTTCCTCTGTGAGAACCCAACTGCTGTGCCTACCGCTTCTCCTTCCAGGGAAGGGGAGCTGATTCAATTCAGATGCTCTAGACTCAGAACAACCCCTGATTTTATCTGCGTGGTGTGTTTTAATAGACTTTAAAATCCCAAGGAATAATTCTCCAGGTGGCTTGTGTGGATTTTGTAGGGGGATTAAATGAGTCGCGACTGATCATTTACAAGAACAAAATCACCCCTAGAGTGAATGTTGGGATTCCTAAATGTGAATTTTAGTACATGTTGGGAAAATTTTCCTCTGTGAACACATTTCTAGAAAATTTTATGTTAGTGAGGAAAATATGATCATTTTGGCTTAGATAATTCAAATGAAGTATTTCAGCCTAAAAGGGCTTCTTATACACACATATGGGAAATGAAATTTAACTTTAAAAAACCACTTGGGTTTTAAAATTAAACCATTTACTATTTATAGCAATGTCGTTGAAGTTTTTCTCATAAATAGAACCATTCTTCGGCTTCCACGGGCTCTTGTTAAATGTTGACAGAGCTATAAACACATATGTAAATGTGACAAGATCATCTTGTAGGTCGACAGAGCAGAGAGCTTCTCCCCAGGCACTGTTTGCTGGGTTGGAACTCTTTTACCGTTAATTGTGAATGCCCCTGACATGGCTTCTGATTTCCAGATTCATGAACTAGATTGCAGGTAGTAAAAACATCATTAGTTGGAAAAAGGTATAACATCAAGGCTCTTACTGCCATCTCTTGATCATAAATAATGATACAAATATTAAGTGGCTACAGCTACCATTTGCTTCTGCAAACACTTGATTTCACATTTAGCTTTTTTTAAAGCTTTGGCTTGCATCTGAAATAAGGCCTTTTCGTAACAATTGTGGTGGTGTTGGGGGAGGTCAGTGTGAGGAAACTGGAGATTTGGCTTCTAGTCCTCTTGGTGTCACCTATTAGGACAGCTGGGAACCTTGTTCATCGCATTTAGCCTTTCTGGATTACAGTTTTCCTACCTACATTTTGGGGCTAAGGCTACCTTACCTGCCTCAAGGCATGGCATTTGGGTAGTGGATTATTTGGCTTCCCACGAGCTGCAAAGTCTAGTGAATTCTAACATCTCATCTGCATTAGTCTCACCTCTAGACTGGTTGTAAAAATGGGAGGCCCAGCACACTGACCTCCTACGTGTGGTGTGGTGGGGAGGAAGGGGGGTGATTTGGGGGCATATAGCAGCTCATGATAAGTAAACCTACTGGACAGCCCAGTGGGATCAGAGAGGTCATTCAGTTTCAACCCTCTTAACTCACAAATAAGGAAACAGACTCAGGGAGAGTATGACTCACTCGCAGTGGCACAGCAAATGGTCACAGTAGTAATGAGTCCCCTTCTTTATTCTTAGTGGTGACAGATTTGATAAATTAGAGATGAAACACCGAAGGACACAGTTGAGTCAAAACTGGCCAAGAAGCTCCTGATGTGTGTGGCTCACCCCTTGGCTTGGATGTTGTGCTGGGAAACTTGGGCACTGGGTATGGGGAAGTGGGCAGCTGTGCCTTCCCCAAAGCAACTACATTAATGATGAGAAGGGCGATTTAAGATACTCGCCGAGGAACAGACCTGCACAGTTTTCCAGGCCCAGGCCTTTTTGTTAAAAGGCACTGTTAAGTGAGTGGGCATGAAAGGCTGGTGGGGCTTCGGAGTTGGAGAGGTCATGAAGGGCACCACACCTGTTGAACCTGGATTAGGCTGGGGGACAATTCCCTCCCTGGAGAATTCTGATTAACGGCCTGGCGGGTCCACATTCACTACACACTGTCTTTTCACCACACTCTGTTGTGGAGCCACTCATCTGAGATGGCAAAGTGTGGGGAGAAAGAAGCAGTTATTGACTCACTTCTTATAAAAAAACACAGAGCTGAATTTTCTCTGGTGTTCTCCTAAGTATGCCAATGGGATTGTGTCCCAGTGGAGACCACCAAAGAAGAGGGGAATGAGGCATGGTGGCTTTGGCATCTGTGTGTGTGCGGTTGGGGTGTGGGTGTGGGTGTGGGTGTTGGGGTGGGGGCTCTTAAAGTTCGAGGATTAGACCCACCCAAATTGCTAAAGCCAGCAGTCATGAATTCAGCCCTGCAGATATAGCCCAGCTCCATGATTTAAGCCACGCACATGATCCCTTTTGGCTCAACTTGTTTCACTTATGTAGATGGCCTTTGTTTGCGTCACTCTCTAGTCTGTTGGTAATAATCTAGCCTGTTTTGGAGGCTGTTTGGGAATATGTTTGCATATTAGTTAAACTGGTTAGAGGACAAGAGGTCTGAACACTGGATGACCTAAGGCTTGGAAAGGGTATGCCAAAGCAGAAGCCAAATGAGGATTATTCCGGTGCTTTGTGGGTGATTGGCCGGTGTGCTTTATGAATTAAAGATGGAATTATAATTCACAAGCATATCCCTTCTCATAAGGAAATCATACTGCTTATTGCCACTGGAGTGTGGGAGTGCAAAGGGAAGGATGGGGCCAAGCACAGTATCTCCTGGGTCACAACTCTGGTGCCCTGAGGCTTGGAGCCAAGAGCTTCCTTCTGTCCTTGGCTCTGTAACCTGGGACAGCCAGCACCACCTGCTAGTCCAAGAGCCCATTCACACAGGAGATGCTCGCCTTAGGACAGAACAGCCTGAGGAGATTCTCAGCAGATTTGGGTTAGGTGGATTAGAGAAGGCTTCCTGGGAAATGAAAAACAGAAAAAAAGAAAGCCTGTTTAGGAAGGTGTTGGAAGAGAGTGGAACTCTGATGGGTGGGGAAGGGAAAGGACCACATGAGAGCAGAAAAAACTAAGCTCCAGGCATTGTATATGGGGTTGGGGAAAATTTTCTTTGGTTAAATCTTTATTTGTGAAGTAAGACAGATGTTAATGAAATATTAGCCGGTGACCTGTTAGTGAATCTCTTAACTCAAGTGCAACTCTCAGAGGGCAGCAGAAGGTCTGTGTCTGGCTCTAATGATGGGAACCCTGATTGGCAGCTGTCTTGGAATCATGCAGACACCTAGTGGTTTCTTCCCGTGTCATCATGTGATGCTCAACTCTGGAGGCCACATGCTCACTTCTGAGACTGTGTGCTTCAGGCTTCAGAGGAGAAATATTTGGCTTTGAGGATGTGCTTCCAAGTGAAGCCAGACTAATGGGTACAGCAGAGAGCTTCTGAATCTTTAGAAAAATACTTTTTTCCCTTAAATTTTTTACGTTTTGCCTGTCAAAATTTAGAAAATACAGATGAAGGAATAAACGTTGCCTATAATTTTATCTCATTGTTAACATTTTGGCATACAGTAAGTCCTCATTTAACATTGTCTGTAGGTCCTGTGATTTTATGTGAAATGATGTATAAAAACCAATTTTACCATAGGCTGATTGACATAAACAAGAATTGAGTTCCTAACAGCATCTCATCAATGTTATTATAAAACAACGTTGAACAAAATTATGTTATTTGAGTACCTGCTATATATTGTTTCAAGTTATTTTTCCTTGGAATATGTGCATATATATGTTTACATGCACTTTATTAAAATGGAATTATACTGTATGTAGTGAGTTATAGCTCACTTTATTGTCTAAACAATACGTTTTATGACATTAAATA